ACCCGCAGCAGATGGGATGTACTGTGATCTAACCCTGTGTTGCAGCAGCACCCCCTGCTGGAGCACATCTGCATAAACATCTAGGAATGTCTACGTAAGCCGCTATGAACTGAGGCACTTGCAAAGTGATTAAATAGCGAGTGTCTACCCCCCCCATGACCTGTTAAATACCCCTTTCTTGTTTGGTCTCAGATGTGCCCCAACATACAGATTGAGTCAGGAAACTCAACTGTCAGTAGGTGTAGAAGACCCTAATGCTTTGTTACTCCCACTGAAATGTAGATTGCTATTATCAGAGTGCTTGCTGATGCTGGAATGAAGACAGACAGAGTTTAACATGAGGGTCAAGCATCAGACTCCGTGTTGGCCCCACAAAGCACGTATTAGACTACGGTTTCTGAATCTCGTGTAACTGAGTTGTCATACTTTCGCCATGAGCAATGTAGCTTCTAGTGAACACTTTAAACAAGTGTGTTTTACTGTAGTGTACACCTACACTGTCAGAAAAAAGGATACAGCCCCGGTACAGTTTTGTACCCCAAGGTAGAAACAACATTAATGTACCCCCTATGGTACAAAAATGTTCCGCAAAGTCCATTTCTGTACCTTAAAAGGGACCTTAACCTATGGCTAGAGTACAGCCCCAGTGACAAGTGATTGTACCCTCAAAGATACAAATTGTTACTTTTTTTGGTACTTTGTTACTTTTTTCTGGCATTGTACTCTATTTGCTACTGTATATGACATGAATTTGTGTATATGACAGTTTGCAGGCCATGCAGCTACTAAGTGCACAAGCTACTAGACAATTACTGAATTTCTTCCATCTACATAAGAATGACACTGCATCTCTTTAAAAATACAAATCAACATCATTGTAATACATCCCCTCACAGCAGAGGAGCAGAAATAAGGTTTAGGCACCATCACATATGTTATGTTCAAGTAACAATTTGACCCACCAAACCCAGAGCATGGAATCCCTTTATTACAAATCAGCAGTGTTGTTACATGCATAAAACTGGGGTAAGAAATGACTTGCGCTTCAAAAAAGCTGCAAACATGAGTTCAATGAGTATTTCACTTTTCATACATCACATTGAGCCAGATGAATTACATTCTTATAAAAGCCATTCACCAAGGCTGCTTTTCTTTAGTTTTCGTGGGCATGGAATGTTAATGGTAAGCAGGTTTTTTTTGTGTTTTTTTGATGTTTGCAGATTACATTTTCTTTGTTCTCTCCAGACGAATGGCTGCAACATTGTGCATGATATTAATGTGCCGGACATCAGGATACTTCTGTCCAAGTTTCGGGTCTTTTCAATAGAAAACATCTCAGTGGGCTTTTAGGTATTTTGTTTTCCGCTTGTACTCACTCAGGCTAAAGGATGTAATTAAAATTCCCAGCCATGAGATATGACATTGTGGGGTTTTTTCGCCACTGAACAGACATTTTTGCACCATTATTGTCTTCTTAGCAACACTGTTGCTGCAGTTTGGAAAAAGGTGGATCTATTTGCCGAAGTGACCTAAGCTTTGTATTTTAATGATGCCTTTTCTGTTTGTTACTTGCTCAATTCCAGACAAAATGTATTCTCTTTCCCGTCCCAGGGTACTGAGTTTCCTCTGACGACACATTAAATAGATGTTTTTAATTTCTCATTGCAGTCATTAAATTTTCTAAGCCACCCGCTGGACATCGAATGGTGACTCAGATCTCCCCAGAGACTAAGCCCTGAGCACAACTCTTACCCATTAAAACCGAAACTGCAGCAGAATTCAGCCTGCTGATGCAACACGGGAGGGAGAGTTGGTTCAAACGGATGGTGTAAGAAGAGCTGTTGGTCCATGGTGCGAAGGTCCTGTCCATAAGATCTTCACAGAAAGCTGTGGACTATTGTAGCTACAGAGTACATCTTTGGTGATCAGTGTTTCTAAAATAATATCATTCTGTACATCATTCTGGTGCAGATGAGTAAAATTACAATGTCCACAATTGGTTGGTGGCCTATCCTGCCTTATGCTCATAGCTTCTGCGATAGGCCCCCGAACCCCACATCCCTGCACAGGACAAGCAGGTATAGAAATTGAATGGATGGAAATTATAATGCTATTTTGTAGACAGTGAATAAGATTTTATAATTAGGCCATTTTCAGCTAGACAGTTTAGACAATGAAACTACTGGAGAGGAGGACACAACAATGTTCGCAGTCAGCATTCTGCTTGCTGATGAAGGGGCTGGGGAGGGAAACCTGCACGATTTGGTCATTAGGGTCCTGTCAGTAAGATTCTCCAAGATGGTTTTGGACCACTGAAGCTGCACCACAAGTGAGTGAAGATGGGGATTTCTATATATCTGTATTCTGGTGTTCTTCATGGAATAACGACATTCCCAGTGCATTATGGGTACCATGGGGTGAACTGCCTTTCAGCCCAAGTTCAAGAAGTACAAAGTTCAGGGTTGTTTCTTCTGCATTAATTGGATTCTGAATGTGAGAGGCAATGTACCATTCCGCCTCAGACTCTTACTCGGTCTTAACTAGAAGAGTCACATGTGAACATGGTGGAAACATACTGCCCTCTAGTGCCCACTGATGTTACTGTTTCCTTTGTTATAGAACTGGGTGTGGTTTTCCTGTTTATTAATTAGATTAACTTTGACAAATGTCAAAACTGCAATTATTTGCAAAGCTGAAGTATAATGACATTTCTAACTAAATTGGGTTAATTTTTAAATTCACCCTGTTCAAAGAGAATATTTTCCACGGTGGATATAGTAATGTAGAATTAAAATGAAAAGTTATGTGGTTCATTTGAACACTTTGTAAACTTTATGTATTATAATGAGGAGAATTATTGATTCTCCCAGATAATAATCACAAGCATTAAACCCAGTTGTGACTGTCCGCTAAAACCGTACTTCAACCAGCACGTGGGCTTGTTTACATACAGCACCACAAAGACCCATTGATTCACCCGGGTATGTTATCTTAATAGATTTAACTTTCTAAAGCTGCTGTCACACGTCATCGAAACAAAATATGCCCAGAGTAAGGAAGAACTCAAGCAAAAGAAGGAGTAAAGAACAGCTTCCACTATGATTTCTGTGCGGCAGTTTCGTCACGGCCGAGGCTGCCGTTTTCTGCATGATGGGGTCATGTGGTACCTCCTCTCGCTCATGTTGGCATTTGCACCTCACGGGTTTCTTAGCAGGCTGTCTGCATGCTTACATTTCACATTAAAGTTCTCACAATTATGTGTGTCGTTGTTTCCTGGTAATTTCAGTGCAGTGTGTAATTTTTTATTCATATTGATTACTGAACATTCTCTAAGCAGTGTCAGCCACCACTGGATAAAGGCACACTGCAAGTTATCAGTGACACTGAAAAACTGACTGAGAGTCATGTTCTGCCTCTAGGATTCCATTAGATTGTTCAGTTTCCATTTGCAATCTGTTATGGCGCTCAGACGAACTGACGGTTTTGCGTTTCTTTGTGTGTGTATGTTGGGGGGGGGCGGAGGTATGCATTGCTTTTAGAATCTAGTTACACACATGCACTAAATGTTAATAATTAGCCCTGCATTGCTATAGCATAACTACAAAAAATATTTGGATAAATAACTTATCTATAACTGTTTACCCAGTAGAGTTACTGTGAGCCTGGAACCATAAGATAGGGAGATCACAGAGATGCAGGCCATTTTAAAACACCATTTTTTCCCTCTTTGGAATAAAATCAGAATACCCAGTGGAAACATGGCTAGAAGACATACAGACCTGGTGACATGAATCGAAGTCACAATGACATAATCATATTTTATTCAGTTTTATTATTATTCAGTTTTACTAATTGTTTTTTAAAAATTAATGTCAGATGGATATGACATACACTAACACTTTACAGTATATCCAAAACGAAGAAGAGGCATTTTTCCACTGGGCCTTCCTGAGCTGAGTTGCAATCTACAAAAATTACACTAGATGTCACTACAATACAGATATTGTAACACGAAACGAAATCTCTTGGTGGTGGACCTTTATAACCGTTTTTTTTTTATCATGCCAACAGCATACGGAAACAACGTCAACTTACTGACGTAAACAACGTCAAATTATTATTATTATTTATTTATTTATTTATTTATTTATTTACAGCTACACTATTAGTGCATATTTGCATAATCTTTGATTATACGGGGTATGTGAGATTTTTCTTCAGGATTATAATAAGCCTAGCAAAATTTTACGATATACGCTTCGTGGAATGCTTTTGATAAATCATGAAACTAAGAAGGCCAATTTGCATTCAGCTGCCACAGAGGCAACACGACAGCAATCACGGCCTGCTTTTGTAACCCTGAGCTTTCAAGTCTGGACATGGAACAACTCTTGTATAAGAGGCAGACTGTTGGAAAGGCGACGGCCGTCTGCAGCTACAGTTACAATAGAATCTGTTTGCATATTCATAAATTAAATGGCTGAGTAGATCAGCCCGTAAAGAGGCTGACGACGGTATAAGACGTGCCACTGTAATCAGTTAATCAGAAGCCCGAAGCATATTTTCTGTGACAGGACTGGCTGACACACCGGGCCATATTATTAGCAAGTTAGTTCTTTATCCCGGGTCAAATTTCAGTAAATGTGTTGTAATTACGTGTTTGTGCACCGCCTGTGTGGGGAAAAGTATTACTATAGGGTCTGAACAGGCTACATTATCTCCTTTCAACAAGCCGTGTACCTCGCACCTCTTTGGCCGGCGTTATTGTGATTTGATTAAATATTTTTTAAAAAACAAAAGATGGAAAATGAGTGAAACTGAATTGTTCAATTATCATACGTGTAACATTTTTTTTTGTCCCAAGCCTCTCATACTCTGCAAAAATCAGCCATGGTAGTCCTTTGTTTACAGGCACGGCAGTATAAAATGGACCTGTTCCGCTCATTAATTAGCATTTTCTTTCATGCTGTAATTAGGGTTGCTACCTTTTGAAGGGCGAGGTTTAGCCCGACGAGTGTTTGAAGCTCAAAGATTTCGGCAGCTGGGAATCACTACCGTTTCGAATCGTCCGGATGCCGCAAAGCGCAAAAAATCTGATTAAGGCCGTTTCTCTAGGAGTTTATTTGTCAGGAGCGATTGTTTAGCGGTGATTAGTATGTATGCTGATGCTTGCAGCCTCGCAGCTACGGCTGGTTGTGGTACCTGTGCAGAGCAAACCGGGGGCTCGCGAACACCCTTGCAATAGTTTAACATTATCGCAGTAAGTTTCTGCGAATTTGGCTGAGCGACTGGTTAAAAAAACACAATCTGGAGAGGATGGTCTGTTTAATCATCCTACTAGGTAGGCCTCTACAAACGAACTACTTACGCAACTGTGTAACATACCTGTTTACGTTTAGTAATGCTTTTAGCAGTCATAATGTTAGTATGTAATGAAAATATTGTGCTTAACCTGAATTGTTTCCGAAAACAAACTTATTCAAAAATGAATGAAGCTGTAAATTATGTAGGTCACGTCTTTAAACATACTAACCACCCATAAATAATAATAAATACGATGTGAAATTTCACACCATTTTAACTGCAGCAATACGTTCAAGGTGCATAACGTATTTGGTGAGTATTGCTTTCCAAATAGAATTTGATAAAATCTGTATTTTTGTAATATCAAGTACTGAAAAGGAGTTTATGTGACTCCAGGTGTTATTGTGGGGAAACGGTTTCGTAAAATGATGCAATGCTGTCATGCATTACAATATTACTTTGTTATTACCAGTGTAAGGTGTTTATGAGTAGAAAAAATTATACATTATTGGCTTTGAACAAGGCCAATCAGCTTTCTTAAGCGACACTCATTGCTTTGTAAAGAAAAACTACCCCTCTTTCCTTATAGCACATAATTATAGGTTGGGTGTCAAGCAGAAAATGAGGTCAGCAAAGGCTGAAAATAGGTAACCTTTTAGCAAGTTACCAAAATCTAGATATACAAGATATATGTAGATGTATGACTAATTATTGAAACAAGGTCACAGTTTGTGAGGGTCCTAATGACGGTGAGGATGATCTAGTATTGTTTATTTCTATCAGTGTACAGTACATCTTTGTAGACATTGATTTGAGCAGATCATTGTTGCCAATCACCCCTAAATGAGTCAAGCAGTCCTGTTACACTTCAGAGATCCCCCCCCCACCCGCAAAATGACGTTGTCTTCACGCTCTAGTTCCTTTAAATCGTGCTGTTGATGCAGGCTTATGAATTTTGCTGAAAGGGCAATTCCAAATTGCATTTTTTTGAGGGACTTTCTCAAGCATACGTGCCGAGAGAAGCTGTCATGTTTAATATGAGCATATCTGGAAGAAATGTCAGTCTTTGAGGCTCTGCATTTTATTACCTCCGCACAACAGGCGAGATTCCTTAATACAGTAGCTTGATCGCTTTGCCCCTTAATGGATAACAATAGTTTACAAAGGTGCTACGTGATATATAACATTTGTGAGTGATTTGCATAGCTGTGCACTAGTATATATGCAGTGATAAATATGCCATTATTCATATACTGGTTTTGTAATGAGGCATCTTCTCTTATTTGACGGGCTTTACTCTTCATCAGGATCTGACAGGTCCTGCCTTGAAGATGTATGGCCATCGTTTGATAGCGGTATTCCCATTGTCCATTTCACCTCCGCAGAGACGGAAAAGTGGTGACGGTCGAGGGCAGGAGTCCCATTAGGGCCACCATTAGTTTGCCGAGTTCCTGTCCACACGACTGCTCAGACTGCCTCCTGGTATATAATGCGAGCTGGCCTCTGAGGGAGTCTCCACGGTGACTGCAACAAAGGGCACAAATCCCACTGAGTACCCATAATGCAACTTGCGCCATCAGCAACTCAGTTGTGGTCTATGTTGCGAGATTTATTTCACTGCTGTCAACCATACAGTCCTTTTTATTCCAGGGTGTTACGAAAAACTCACAGACAAAACACACCTCTACAATTTACACATGCATAACGTTACTGCTAATACCTACATAGAGGAAACCAAACTCACTAAATGACTGAATGTACTCAATCAACCAGAAAGAATATTATTATACGTTTCAAACTGGAAAACACCTAACTGCTCGGAGCCAGTTTCGTATAAAGTAAATTTCCGCGCTGACTTGAAATAAATTGACTTATTTGTCCCGTCTCTTACTTCAACACCATTCCGTACTGACAACCACCCTTTACCACAAGAGACAAAAAAAGAAATGCTCATTAATGACGATGACGGAAGTCAAAATGGGTGTTGGCAGGTGTAAGTGGAAGACGCCTGGAAGACTAATTTTGATGGATGGCTTCTTTGTACCCTAACCCCTTAGGGTACGTTTACTCATTAAACATGACAGGGCCCTGTCTGAGAATGCCATATAAATCAATCTGAACCGTCCAAACTGCAGCCTGTGCAGAGGGCCTCTCTGGCACCCCAACATGCTCGCAGGATACGGGGGGGGCTGCTGCCTCCGACACACTTCTGCAGTCTTAGTATTGCGTGGATTTGCCTCATGCATTCTGTGTCCCCGTGGTGGCATTCCACTGAAGAACGCGCCGGCAGATCCAAACTAGACACACAATATGGAAGGCAGTCCGGTCTCTAAATGTATGTAATTTCGTCCAGCTTTATTAATATGGCAGACAAAACACTTATGACTTTGATACACTTATGAATATACAACAACCATTAGGGATGCAATTATAAAACTGACAAAAAAAAGTGGCAAATGTTGTTATGGAGACGATACCTTTCTTCTAATCTCCACTGGCATCCTAATTGCATTTTCCTCACTTCCTCTCAGAAATCTTCATAATGCGGCGCTTGATAGATGACCAAGACAGGCTACTGCTTATTAAAAAAGTTGCGTCCCTGTTTATAAATCTGCAAGATGGGCTCTGTAATGTACTGCTTCAGACCACAGTGCTGCCTATACCAAGATCATATCTTTAAATCACCTCTACAAATAATCGTGTTTGTGTTTGTATTAAATATGAAACTTGCAAGCACTGAAATGAGTCAGCCGTAGCCAAGAGTAACAAAGCGGTCTTTCGTGGGCAGAGTCCCCCACTGCTTGTATGCAGTGATGCATTACTTGTCTATTCACTTTCTTGCACATATTGTCCTATAAGTACTATTTTTGAATTTCATAACGTCGGAATACAATTGTAGGTGCTCTTGCTATGCATACATCGATTAATTTGTGCTCCTGTGCAGTACACGTGATTAAAAATCATAATCTGAGGTTGCTGAGGTCTTTTTCTTTCGATATTGTACCAACAGCAGTGACACGTACTTAAACTTAAAGTTCCACTTGCCCAAATTGTACTGGTGGACGTCTTGGTCACCTCACAGACCAAGCCAGGTAGTGTTGTAATGTTTGGATTCTCCAACCCAGTATCTTTTCTTTATGTCCTTACCATGCATTTCATTTCATTCCTTTGTCGGACTAAAAAGGCATCACAGACTGCTTGAGATACCTTTCATTCCTGCCCTGATCCTTACTCGTCACAAAGACCAAAATTAAACGTTTAGAAAGCATTTACTATAAAAAGCACAACACACATATATAAACAATATATTCAGTTACGGTGTAATGGACTGCAGCATGTGGATTCTGAGCAACACTTTGTAAGTGTGTAAAGATTAGGAAGCATGTTAACAACTGTGGATCCTAATCCCTGAATAAAAACGGGGAACCACATTTGACAACGCTACGTTGATTGCAGGCAGTGTAAGATCATTCTGACCTCAAGGAAAGACAGCGTGTAATTTAAAGAAGGACAAAAAAAAACAAAATGAGAGGGAAATCAGTATGATTACACACTCAGCCTTTATTTCTCTCCTTTGGCTGCACACAGAACCTCCAATTAGGGCGATGAAGATGGGGCCTGAACTGCCCAGTCTATTTGTGTCTCTCGTAGAAATCCAGATTTGTGAAAAAAGGAGAGAGAAAAAACGCGGCGCATCCACGTCTGATACAGATTCTGACATTAGCTGAGGAAATCTGGGACACAGTTGCATTCATTGTTCAGTGAGCTTTTCTACACAGTTAAACCCACCGACAGCAATGAATGTTGATTGTGACCTTTGCTCAAAGTTGTTTGAGGAAACAAAGAGGAGACCAAAGGATTAAAAAAAAATAAAAATAAATAAATCAGAAACATGCAGTCGACGTTCTTGTAAGTCTCATCTCCTGGCATGATCGCCAGAGGCGCTGCCCATAAGGGACCCTCGAGGAGCATGGGGCAGGCCGCAGGGCACAGTCAACGGTCGATGGTTTTTTTAATTTACCCCAAACTCACCGACAGCGTTGAATGTTCACTGAAGCGAACTCTGCGTGGCTGTAAAGAGATGCACCGGATCGTGGGTGGAGCTGGACTGAAACTTGCTGTGAATTTAATCTTCTCAGGTGCTGGATGCGCTCGATTAGGCAAGGTGACTTCTGATCAAGTCAGTAACATATCCACACTGGCTATCATTGATAGCAAGTATAACTGTTTTTAAACAGTTAAACCTCACAAATATGCTATAAACACAAAACATCTTAAAAGAGCCAATTAGGATATGCAGTAACACATTGCTTAAGTAACTTGGTAACAAATCAAAATATAGTAACTGCATTAAATACATGAACCGTTATCACTGATTAATGATGAACAGAAATGGGATCAATGGGTAGCTTTTTTTACTACTTTTTTAATACTTAGGCCTTGTCCACACGCACACGGGTATTTTTAAAAACGTAGCTTTTTCTTTGCGTTTCGGTCTTTCGTCCATACCGAATGCATTTTAGGTCACTGAAAACGGAGCTTTTGCAAAACTCTGTCCAGGGTGAAGGTTTTCGGAAACTCCGTTTTCAGAGTTTTTGGCTTATGTCAGAGTGTGTGTCGTTATCTACTTCGTTTGACGTCAGAGTGTGCCCCATTCGCTGTGTACGTTAGACGAGTATGCTCTTGACAGCTTGTTTTTGTTTTCCATGTGGATGGAGATTTTTTTAAAAACAGCGTCTGTGCGGAGGGAAATTTTTTTAATGACGGAGGAGGGAAAACACCATTTTTAAATATACTCATGGACAAGGCCTTAGTATCTGGTTAATTAATACATTAAAAGTATAGTAATACATTATTTGTGTCCTCTCAAGTAAAGTGTTACCAGAAATGCATAATTAAACAAATAAATATTGCCTGAATACAAAAACAGTAGAACAAGTATGACAATAAAAACGATTAAATCAATTTACACAATTACTTTGAAATTAGCAGCAGATACGGACAATATCAACAGGAGTGTTCAACAGGTATTTGCTTTCACCGTTATTCCTCTGTTCTTCGCAGTCAGCTTTAAAAAACAGCTGTCTAATACATCTGTTGTGTGTATCCGTCATCCTTCTGTAATTGTGTTTCTGGAATGAGAGAAGTTTGATTACAGGTACGGGACTGTCGCCGCTCAGCTACCAGCTTGCGTCGCACAAGACACGGTTTATCTGCATGACAGTTAATTAGCCAGTCGTTGTATCATTTATCTGCCCATAAAGGTACACAGGACATGTTTAACAAATAATGCAAATGGCATGGAAAGCAATTCACTCGAGAAAATCTATAAAGATAAGCATCGTTCTGGGGTCAGGCGAGTTGTGATTTATTATGCAATAACACGCAATAAGTTATTGCTTCCAGTATAACGTCAAGAGCTCATTGAGCTGGAGTAATCGACAAGAAGCACACCCAGGTTAGGATGCAAGGCTCCAGGCTCTTCTGATTCACAGGGAAATCTGCAAAGCTTTTTCCAATGGCTTGTACCTTAGCTTACAAGGCTAACTTGCAAGCCTCTAAGGAACCTGAAAAAATATATCTCATAATAAGTATACTGTACATATACTGGGATGGAAAAAAAATTGACTAGATTGTGGATTCCTTTGTTTTCAATCTTTACTTCAAAACCATCTATACAGCACTTTAAGAATACGCAGTAGCTCAGTTTTAATGTATGTCTATAGTGTCTTCGGTGTGTTTTTCAAACTTTTACGTCTGTACCACTGTGGTATGGGGCTACTGGAAAGTAGAAGTTCCCTCTGGGATTAGTAAAGTTGTCCGTCTGTCTGTCTGACTGATCATTTGCAAGCTTCGAGTAATTGAAATGACTCAAAGGGGAATGTGTGTGTGTATACGTGGGTGTGGGTGTTGGGGGGGGGGGGAATGTATTTAACAAATACAAACAGACTTCAGAGCAAACATCTCCTATACAACTGGCATTTTCCCCTTCCTGCACTAAGCATTCCGCCGGATGCTCTAACATGGCTGCAGACGACTCCTTCTGAAGTGCCAGGTGTCTGATCTGCCAAAAGTCATAAACAAGTACAGTCTGAACACACTGCTGCTGCTTGTGATTATCAGGCCGGAATTGTAGAACGCCTAAAGCTACGACTTCCATTCTCACTTACAGTACCTTGGTCTTCTTGGTGCACTCCAGTTCACATCCAGGCCCTCGCTGACAAACCCCTGTCAGATCCTGCAGTGTCTTAGTCTGACAAACTGTTTGATTTTTTTTGAATACCTGCATCATATCTCCTACAAAAGGTGACACCTGTTTCAGGCAAAATAAAAGGTGATTCCATGTTTCCATGACGACACGTCTTCTTCTGAGGAATGCCTTTTGGAGATACCAAAGAGGAATCAAAGTGAAAGGAAAATGAACATATTTTGCTATGTTCGCTCTTGGGAACAGACTAGTTCAATCGTGTTGACACCTGGAACCACAGGTGACTGGTAAACAGGATTGTTTGTGTCATCTGAGTTAAACCAATAAGCAAAGGCCGTCTTCAATGCACCGACACCACTGCTTGTGAAAAGGACATGTTAGAGAAATACACCAGTTAGCAGTGTTGGGCAGTTCAGGTCCAGACGCTACAAATCCAGACCAAGGTTTTGTTTCTACCAACCAGCTGAGTTCTCTGTGACTGTGACTCTTTGTACTCAACTGGTTGGTAGAAACAAAATCCTGGTCTGGATTTGTAGCTTTCAGACCTGAACTGTCAAACACTGCCAGTTAGATGACTAGCTAATGTGACAACAACCTGTTCAGCCACATAATAAAAAAAATTAAATGTATCATTTAGAGCATAAAGCACATGTACTGTCTTGTAAAGGAGCCAAGCGACTTTGTTCATCTTAAGTGAAGCATTAAAAAATGAATACGACTGACATGTAAGAGACACTGTTACATTATAGTCTGAAACTGTGCCAAAGAATTCTTTTCCTGAACACAACCGCAAAGCTATTAAAATGTTGTTTAAATATTTTTGCGAATACGCTTGTATAAGTGACATCGCGTCCAGGGTGTAATCTAACCGCCTGCGACAGACACCACCCCACCTCTCCCCTCCCCCACGACCCCGATCGGGATTTCTATGGGCTTGGGGGGGGGGGGGATGTTTTACTTGAATGAGCGGGATGGATTTTATACAGTAATATGCTTGTCATATGCTAGTACTTTTGGCAATTCACTGTACAATACAGAGAAAGTATGTGTCTCTTCTTTTTCGATCTGAGTGTTCATGTGGCTTATTGTCTCCTTCATACAGTTTGACTCTCCCTGCAAACCTGGACTGGAAGCGACTGGAAGATGAATGCCGGTCAGTACTATTCCTCATATTTTTATGTGCAATAAGAAAATGTATGGCTTTCCCAAATAAGTGCATTCATCATGGGGAACTCTTGCAGGTCGTGTCCTTCCTCTGACTAATACAAGTACCGTTTAGCAATTTTCCAAAATACCTGAACCTTAAAGAGATTGGTCAGGGGTGCAGAAAAAGGTCCGGTTGAGAGAAACACTAACAAGTTCCCCACTTGACTGCCTCATTCTGGACTGAACTGACCCCCCAGGAGTGGGGAACACTGTTCTGCTTCCATGCAAGGAAGCCTCATTTCATTACACCACGCCTTGCCTGCCGCAATACATCACATATAACCTGGAATCCCATCTTTCCTGCAGACCCATATATATATATGTATACGTGCATGTTTTTTTTTATTGCTTTTGCAATGTTCCCATTTCACTGTACAATTACACCCCCCCCCCCCCCCCACCCCCCCATTTATAAAACGTTAACAAGTACTAGCATGCAGGGGCTGGTATCTTCACATCACATCAACTTGGCTTTTCCACATTGGATCAGAATGCTGAAATTCTATGGTTTGAATATCAAAGTCCTCCACAATGGATGAGAGGGAGCCCCCTGGTGGTGACTGTGGAGAGGCCTTCCGTCCTGATGAATCAAACCGGGTGCTACATATAATGGCAGCATTTAAGCTGATGCCAGGGGAATTATTCCTGCGAAGGTCATGTTCTCAAAGGACCTTCATTTGGGCCACAAGCCAAAGATACATTCAACGTTCTTATATTCCAGATGTCATCAGCAGCGAAGCCCTACATTCTACCATCTGAGATCCGCAGAACCGGCTCTTCGTTCACCGGCAGACCTAAATAACGCCTTAAAACATGGCAGCGTGCTAAATAAGGACCGTGATCCACACCCATCCATCACCATCCCGCTACAGAGTGTGAGATTCACCTTGTTCCCCACATCCATTTCCATAAAATCCGTTACACGGCAGCATAAAACATGGAATCCGTTCCATGTAAAAAAAAAAAAAAAAGTCTGCAGCGTGGATGAATGGATGAAAAGGCGAAATAACATTAAACATGTCAGTCCTGTGTGAAAAATATGTCTGCGGCTTGAATGAAAGGATGGATGCCGTGAAGACATCCAGACCCTACCCCGCGCCGTGTACAGACCTCACTTTGTTTGTAAAAAGACGTCTTTCACAGAAGGAGCGGCGAGACGGACGAGTACGTCAGCTCCCCCCCCCCCCCCCCGTTCTCTTTTATCGCGACCGGCCAGAGCGTCAGTTTGATGGGCTGGTTAGGCCGGGGGGGGGGTGGTGTTTTACTTGAACGAGTGTCACTTACCTGCCTGTTCCCAGTTTCCCATTCGTAGACCTCCTCCTGCTCCCCCCTCTGACAGATGGCTTAGTCTTTCACCTCTAGTCACATGGTGTCACATGATCTGAAAGACAGTTAACAGTTTACAGAAATCACACCGTATTAGTTTCAGGATGAGTCATAAAACAACACTAGTACTTATTACTATTTGTAAGCCAATAGCACAGAACAGCACAAGCATCTATATACACAACGCTCTCTCCCCCCACCCCCCACTAGTTTAAATGATTAAATGCCATATTCTCAAGAATCAGCCAGAATTTTCTGGTTACATGCTCTCTGACCCCTGCAATGACACCACAATCATAATTATAAACCCAAAATATTTAAGCAGGATCAGGCACACAGCCCAGTTCATCAGATTATGCTAATCAATTACGACTAAAGCGTTCATTAAATAAAGACAACCGTAGAACCTCTAATGTTAAAATCTAATGGACGGGGGAGATTTTGATATCGAGCACAGAGACTTCCTTTGCCTATTCTTTACATGTTTGATATATTTCATCTTTATTATATACTAATCAAACTGACGGAATCAGGACAACATGGCAGGATCTATGTAGGATTAAGTTACATGAATAATTAGCTTTTGTGATATTGGTGTCGGACATTGATGAATACTGGTGTCGGGTATATAGGACGGCAGGCTTTATGACAACTGGAATGAGGTGAAATTTCATTGCGGCTTTTTGTACATTAGTTTACATTCATCGTTTTTCTGCCATCGTTACTTTGAAAATGCATTTTATTCATCTCGCACTGTGTTTGTCTCGGAGCTTAAATGGCCGTGTGTGCAGTGTGTGTGTTTCTGAGCTCTGTAATGACAGTCATTTCAAAAGGGCCCCTTCCTGTCTGGAAGTCCTGCCCACCCCCCCCCCCCCCACACACACACACACGCAGAGACACGCCTTATCTTCTGGCAGCTTTAGCACAGGATAAGAACCCCGGTTTTGCTTAAACTGAAAACGACAAGGGATTTTTCTTGGAAGGGACTCATTTAGCAAAATCACGGGCTGGTGACTAAGCGAGAGGTTCCCTCCAGAGATCCCAGATCTTTGTTGTGACTCCAAACTCCCATTCCTCTCTCTCCCTCTCTCTCTCTCTCACTCACTCACACACACACACACACACACACACACACGAGAGTTCATTGTCTGCTTATCTACAAGCACCCCCCCCGAAATGAATGTACTCTCCTCTGATTAACCTGGTGGGGCTCTGGGTGTCTCTTAGCTTACAACAAACCTTCAGAACAGCTCCTTTCGTAAACACAGAACTTATCTATTTTTGGCTCAAAAAAAATGCAGGAAAACAGCCTATTAAAAGCATCCAATTCAGATTTATTTCTGTATGTGGAGATTTTTTTTCTTTCTTTCACATTACATGAAACGAGGCAGCTGAGCCCATTTCTTAAAATACATCTCTGCGGGCAAAACCTTAAATTCCAAATTACCCCAGCAAAGGCGTCATCTTTCATTCCCCCGCTTGTTTACTCTTACTGTAATTGCGTATTTCTGCAGTGCGTATTGGCAAATGAGGAATCAATGGTGTCCTATTAATGGCAAGGCTTCCTCTGGTGGGAGATAATGGCGACTGACAGCAGCCAACCAGCAGATTAATTGATGGTTTTAACAGATTCACCGGCCCTTTCAAACGCCCCCCCCCCCCCGAATCCTCCACTGCTTCACTCACAATATCAACAATTGTTCAAAGTCACAATAATATGAAAAATCAAATGGACCAACCCCTCCCTCCCCCCAAAAAAACAATTTTTACACTTGTATGACATTACGCGCCGATCTAAAGGGAAATCTTGAGCAGCCCGCAGTGAGTTAACGCTTCATGTTGTGCCTTATTCAGGTCCATGACCTCTGCGGCTAAATGGAGACAGAGCCGCTGAATCACACAGACCCCACTTGTGCCGTTTCGGTGGTCGGCCTAACGCTTGCAGGAATATATAGAGAGGGATTATGCGTAAGCTTCACTATTAACCTGCACATTTACCAGAGTCACTTCCAAATAAGCACAAATCATGCAGAGAAACAGAGGAATCACATCACGTGGGCGGGCCGGGGCCGTGTAACAGGGCGTCTGATCCTTAACGTGAATGGATGTGGCCGTGGCGATAGGCTAGCACGTTAAATACAAGGGCAGCCTTCGAATGCGGAGCCCCCCTCCCCATGACAACCACGGTGCCAGCAAGGCATTCCTTAATCCCCCGGGTTCAGTGTTTATGAAGGGGAGGGGCTGCATATGGGAGGGGAAGGGGGGAAGAGAACTAGAGGCAGACCCCATCCTGCGCCCAATATTGTGTTTGGGTGAGGGGGTGGGGGGATCGTAACAGTCTTGCCTAAAAGCTAAGCCAAGCTGGGGGCCGCGGTGTCTTGACACGACACAGGGAACAATATGCAGCTTGGCTGAGATCCCGGGGGGTGCGAGAGGTCAGAGGTTATCTCCTTAACATACGGCACTTAGCATGTTCATGCCCATCATTCGAATAAAGGACATTAAATAAGCGGTGGACTCATTAAAGCTAGTTTTACACCAGTCAATGTATATATGTATTATATATATTTTCCCCTCGAGAACTATTCCAAAATGCGACTGATTATGACATGTTAGCTAGTGATGTCACATTCTGTCTGACGTGACCCGCAAGCGTGAATGGTGTGGGTTTTTTTTTCTGCTTTCCTCAGCAATAACAACAGAAAGTGTCTTCAGCTCCAAGGGTTACTCCGTGGAAGGACTTCACCAGCCAATTGTCACGTTGAATATACTTTGCTTGTTAACCAACACAAAATTTTTGCGTAAAGCAGGAAGCCAAAGCAGCAGGTAACAGACACCATGCCTTTTTAATTCACTTCAGATTAAGATTCACTTTCCTTACCAAACCCACAAACATTAAATAATCAGATACACAAAAAAACACTCAGCACAAGATACCACAACCCCCATAACTGTTGCAGCTCCTCCCATCTTGAGCAAATTGTGGTGTTTATTACACCCAAAAGATACTTGATGTCATTCATTACACCCTCTTCTGCACAACACTGCTTGTGTTACTACAATCTGAATCTCCGATGTATTTTTTTTCTTAAGCCCAAGTCGTAGGAGCCTGACTAAAGACGTTTTCCCGCAACTAGGGGACGATTTCAGCTCTGTGTTTGACCATCTAGCATAAGAATTGACAAAGGCATGAGCTTGTGTTTCATTAGCTGACCAAACACTGTATGTCTGACTCATAAAATGCCCTGCTTCACCCGACATATTCCACAAGCTGTTACTGAAGCATTCATGTCGAGGTGCAGTGCGCTGGATTAAAAAATATGGACGGCGGCTGCAGATCTGCCCATTAAGCCCCATGGGACAGCTGTAAATCCATCAGCGAGGCTTATGTACAGGGTACGGAGGAAGTTCTAGTCTCTTAACTTCGCTATCAGCATAAACGTCCAAATAAACATTAAGGGTGGTCTGCTCTGGGCAGCAGGAAAATGTAAGACACGTGTACATTTTTAATCACTCCCAGATTTGTATTTTTTTTTTTTTGGAATTACACAAAAACTTGAAGTAGATGTGAAGAGGAAGGACCCCATGCTTGCAGTCTCTCAGACTTCTTTTTTCTATCCTTCTTGCATTCTGACTTTCTTCAATTAACCATTGAACATCAGTAAGAGGTCTATTGTTTTCATTTTGGTTGTGTCGCGTGAAATAAAGGACACAAACCTTTTTTTTCTATTTTAATTTCGAATTTACTCGCTCAGAACAAGCTTTGATTAAAAAGTTTTTCAGATGTAACACTGAGCAGATATAATATTGGGCAGGATTTCTTTTACGGCGAAAAATCAAATAATTGGCAGGATATTTATGAGCTGCTGATACAGACAGTATCAGTTTCAGTTATACAGAAGTAAAATGCCGATGGGCAAGCTTGGCAAATATGTAGTAGCATGAAAACATGCTGGCTTAACATGATTTTAGTGTCAAAATGGCGCGATAAGAGATTTATAAAAGATTTAAGTCAGCATGGTTCTTCTCCCACCCATAAACTTGAATTTGTCTGTAAGTTTAATCATTCAGACATACAATACTGTAGCATTAAGATTGAGGCAGGAATATGATACATTACCCTACGTAGCCACAGAATATTATATTTAAAAATATGGTTATTACGAATTGAAAATACACAGAACCCCCTGACTAACAGGGATTCAACCTGTCAGGAGTGTCAAACTTAATACCTACTGGGTCATGAGTGTGTGGCGGTTCTTATTTCATCCCAGTTGCCCGCTTTAACCTGCCTAACAACCATTAATCTGTACTATTATTCCAATGCCCCCTCCCCACCCCCCCAGAAGGAAACGCATATGTGACATATTACTGCCAGAATAGAAAGTAAAATCACACCAGTCAGCAACCATACCTGAAATGTACAGTTATGGTTAAAATTAACCGGTTATGGAGCTAATTTTGGGTGGGTGGGGCAGCGCAGAGCAGAAGGCAGCACCGGAGGCCTCGGAAACCCAATGCAGCTGGTGCCGTCTCTGGAGGCTCTGTTGTTTCAGAGCGACTTTGAAGAAGAAGAAGAAAGCCGGCGCACAATCGTTTGTGAGGGATGTCTCGGGCCGAGTCCCGGACGGCGCTCCGGAGCCGGAACGTCCGCGCCGCTCAAGCCCCAGTCGCCCGTGTCGCTGTGGAGCGCATGGCTCTTCGGACTCTCTAAGGCCGCTCACGTACACTAACCCATCCAGTGACTGTCGGGAGTGTCGAAAAGACCCATCGCTCAATACTGCCCCACAAAGGCAAAACACAGTAACTACGCTGACACTAAAACTGAGAAAAAGGGCTTTAATGTTTCCACCCATATATAGTAGGTAGGTAAGTAACAAAGTACTTACCGGAAGTAAAACAGCACCTAACAGACCTGATTTCGGTAATAAAAGTTTTGAGAAAATATGCAGTTATGGTGTTTTGCCACTGTATGGCAGTATCACAGTCACTCCTATCTTCACATACAGATGGATGCTGTTAACTTCAGCTATTCAGGTTAACTGTCAACCTCAGAGGTATAACAACAGGATGCCCACAGGGACTGAAACGTTTAGCCTTTTGGCCACAAGACCTACTGCTGTTTATGGTTTCGTGAAGGAAAAAAAGAAAAACGCTTCCTGTAATAAAATTTCTAAAAAAAGACAGCGCTGCAGGCCTTATCTAGTAATATTCCTCATAGCAGTATAAAAACTGAAATGATCCACTTTAGTTTCAGTTTCTGTAAACTACACGGCACATGCAACGTCAAAACACAAGGATCTGGAGTTAGTCAGAACTTTGGTCTCTTCGCCTTAATGACAGTTCTGCTTCATATGTAAAATGGCTCTTAAATGAAATTAAAGCAAGCCAATTACATTAAATGGGCAAAAAATGAGAAAAGGGAAAGAAAATTAGAAGAGTGTAGGGAATAGTTCCTAAACTCATTATTTGCCTGGTTACTTTATCACCCCACACTGAGGGCAATTGCTGTTTGCACAACTATGTAAATTGCCCATCTGCTTTGCATACAATTCACCTTATACAGTCCATCCCATTCAGTCTGTTAATAACTGTAAAAGTTGATTGGGCATGTGAGTTTTTCTCTTCTTAATGTATGTTTGGGAATTAAGAATGATTTTATCTGCTTTTAATTAGTATGAAGCCACAGTTTAATTGTTCCGTTTTTTTTGTCGTCATTTTTGATGGCAGGAGGGTGTGTGTGTGTGTGTGGGGGGGGGTGTGTGGGGGGGGGGGGGGCTATGGTAGTGCCACAGTGAGTTGTTTCCGGCATTTCCAGGGGTAAACGAGTGAGTCCAACCGGATGACACTTGATCGTCATATCTGCATTTTTTAGCCCACCAGAATAGTTCTCTTTTCTTGCCCATCGATTACGCGACTAAGGAAAGTACGTCAAATCACGATCGTGGGTTGCAAATCATACTCAGCCTGTTTCCTTATTTAAAATATATATGTTATGGTTAACTGGGACATCCTAGATGACATTAATACTGCGCAGGGTTGTACACAATAGACAAATAAATTCAATAAACAAATAATATTTAAACATATGAAACTGTAACTGCATCATGAACTGCAACACAATGCACAGACCTCCATTTATATGAAAAACTGGAAGAAGGCTGCATTTTAAATGAGACGAGTGGTCCGTAAAGAGGTACTGAAATAGAAAGTATTCAGTTCTGGGAACATGCCATCTGTTCTCAGCTATGGTTACCAGTCTATCTGAATCATTTCCTTCCCCCTCGTTCTGATAAAGGCTATTAACGGTTTTTCTCTTTGGCGGCCTGCTGTCCGAGCGATTGAATTTTTTTATTTTTTTCGTTTTAGCAAGTCAATAGACAATGAAGTTTCGTGAACATTTCCTGACATCCCGATCGCACAAATGTTCTTGTTACGAACAGATGAAACCCAACATGACAGTCGCTTCAGTGGATGGAAAGAAAAGCAAACAGGAAACATCTTAATTATGGGAGATACTCTATTAAGGATGAAATAACCATCATTTATCTACCAAAAGGTAATTCGGGCCCATTACCAGCTGGAGCGGTATTTACTGTTACATCCCCTGGCAAATCTACTGAATCAGATGCACTAAAAATAGGCAACGTGGCGAATTTTACTTCAAAGTGATGACATGAAATGCTGCCTAAATCAAACAGTGCACAGGGGTAGCCAGCAAGATGAAAGGACCCAGCACAACAAAGACACAGACGTCGCAATAAAGGAACGTCCGCTCCAATGAGGTGTTTTGGCTACACGTCTTCTCTAAGTGTGTAATTCAGAAAGGCAAAGACGGGAAAAGCCATGTAAAGAGCCACAGACAGAGTGGGGGTGGGGGCTGGGGGGGTTTGACGAGGCCTGGTGGTCTGCACTTAGACCATAGCCTTTGATCCTTGGCTAAATTAACTGCGCGTCTCGTTTGAACGAGGTTAAGATGATGCATTATGGCAGGAAACTGCCCCATACAAATGATACGTGTGCCCTAACAATTCTGCCTCACGTCACATGAACAAATGCATAAGATCTGCTCTGCGCCTATATTACAAGGTTTACGTTACATTTTCCTCCACTATGCTGGTGCAAACGGATACAGCTTTTTGATCCGTACGCTACAAAGATCCAAAATGGGAACCCACAATTTCTTCTGGTTGTCAGCTGTTTTTAGATTTAACTTCCCTATAATAACAAAATATTAAGAATTAGTCTGGTGATTTAAAAAAAAAAACAAAAAAAAAACCTTTCTTTAAAGCATTTTCTTTACAAAGGCTCAGTTGCTCCAGTAGGGCAGGGATACATTCTGAAAGAGGCGTTAGTTACTTCCTCCCTGCATGCTACATATTAGTAACATCCTTTTAAGGGATTGCAAAGCAGCTAATGATCCAGAACTGATATAGCTAAGCTGCTCCTGGCAGTCAAACAAGAAAGGGTCAGTAATCTAATATATTCTTTATGCACAACCCAGATGGGGGCAAATACAGTTGACGGTAGGTACATTATGGATCCTTCTGTACCAATTTAGTCCCCGATTTAATGAGGGAGAACGTTGGCTCATATTGACGCTCCACGTGCACATGCCACCAGACCTCGATGAATGACAAAGAGAGCACTAAGGACTCCTGATTTCTTCGGGAATCCGGCCAAAGGGGACGGTGTCCTCCTGCAGAAGTCTTCCCACACAGTGTCTGCGTGGCGTTTCAAGCCAAGGCCTACTTTTGCATGCTGATCAGATGTTTTTATCCACAGCCATATGGAAAATCATATGCTTTGAAACTTTAACACGGGAGATCTTTCTGGAAACACCAAAGAGACCCCACCCTGGACAATCTCCTTAACCACTGTTGTTCTTGTCATCCTATAAATTTCCCGGCCCTGGTCAAAATCTCCCGCTCGACACCTATTAAATTCAACCATAATTCAGTAGGACAAAGACAGTCAGCGTAAGGTTATCTTACACGCTGGTCTGATTAGGCCATGCGTCACCTCCAGCATGTACAGGTTATCTATCTCCCTGGAAGCCCCCTATATGTAGGCAGAAACTGGAGTTCAAATTCAAGCGTATTACAGAGTGTTTCTCATGCCAAAAAAACGTAACTAGTGACCACTGAAAAAATGTGTAACATTTGTGTATTTTAATAGAGGTTGTTTTCAAGTGGGTGATCAAGGTACGTGGTTCTCAATACTGTGGCAGAGGTGTCTGCTCAGCACTAGGGTGAACCTGCACTGGTATGAAACTTACGTTTGCTGACGAGGCACGCGGGGTGACACAGGAAATAATTTCCAGAGCAGTGGAGTTGCCGGGCCTGATTCCCGAGGGTTGCACCCCCTCTACGTGGGTAAGGGGCAGGCGGCTTGAGTGGGGAAAAAAAAGCGAGGAGAGGAAGGGGGGCCAATCCTTGTCTGGACACCCCTTCAATGAGCTGACGTTTGGGATGGCTGGCTTTAGGGAAGGAGCTGCAGCACTCAGGTGGGACATGAGCTTACGGTAAAAGTGCTGGTTGACAATAAAAAAAAAAAGACCTTGTTAAAAAGAGAAGGAGGTGGGACCGTCCACTCAGTGTGCTTACTAAGGCAGTTTCCCATTGTAAATGGGAAGGTGCCCAACCTTTTCATCTCTCCCCCCCCAAAACGGTCTTTTGTCTTCCCCGAAATTGCACGGAACGGTAATCAAAGGGATTCACTGTTAGCACGGCGTGGAAGAAGGTAAAGAAAGAAAGGGGAAAAAAGGACAGAACTAGAATCTGTGTGTGAATGAGGAACAGGAAGCCAGAGCGGCTGGGAAGGCCTGGCTTGTAAAATGAATGTGGCTTCAGAGCAGTTATTAAATCTAAGGAGGAAGAGCCAAACGAGGCTGACTAGCAATTAGCTTTGGTGGCCCAAGCAAGACCCAGCATTGGAATCTGTGTGTGGTGTTTATAAACTAGCCCTCCCCTTCTGACAGCCAGAAAAATGGAGAATTCTGTGGGGAAAAAAATGATTACACCCTTATTGCCGTCTATTTTTTATATCCCTCCAGTTCCAGCCTGTCTGATCACTTGACAGACTAGAAATTATTTTGTCACTTCTAGCAAGGATAAAATATGGGCTCGGAAGAGCGAAATGGCACCGGGATAAAATCGGCACTAATTTCCACTTGTATGTGAAATTAGAATAATTTGGAAGCATTTTGATCAAAATTGGCAGAATAATAGATTTTTGTGTCCCGCTGAACGAGAGCTGTACCTTGTAAGTGCAGAGAATAAAACACAACAGAAAAAAAGGTTTAAGATCATTTTCCTGCATTAAACATGAAATTAACCCATTTAAATTACTGTACAATAATGAGGTTATGACAAGTAAAATTAATTTTAATGCAAATATTTTAAAAGATTTAATTATAGAATGTGCTTACATTAAGCTTTCCATCACATGTAGTGCATTGATACTTTGTACCATAGAACAATACAATTGTAATTTTCATACCTCATTTTCATATTGGATCGAGGCAATGGACACATTGTTTCACGCATCCTGAATACGCCACGCTATCCGTCCCTCCCACCGACAACCTGGGTACAGAAGAAGACAAGGGAATGACAATAGGTATTGTGGGTGAGACGGCTGTAGGAGGAACCTCATGCTCCGGCGCGACGTCCTTTGGTATCCCTGTACGATTGTTATTGCCACGTCAGTTGTTGCGCGATTGAGGTGAGTGGATACACAGAATAGCGGCATTGTGATAAATAACACTGAACTTAGTGTTATTTGTGGAGGACCTTAGCTAATTTCACACTCACTTGAATCTCAGACAAGAGATGTCTAATATCTGAGAGCACAAAGATATTCCTGAAGTGTTTATTTAGTCAGAAATATCCCAACTCTGTTTGGATGTAGCCTGTTATTCAAAGATATGCCACGCAATAATTGAAATAGATTGTTTAACAAGCTACATGCAGTAAATTACTAAAAAGACAATAAATTAAGCTATATCGCTAATACGCTAATGCTAGCTCGCGTTTCTTAAACCTGTCAACAGAATACAATCAGCTATCAGCCTCCACTGTGTGCTGTTACTAGTGAAAGTTCCCGTACTCCTGATTTTGTCTGGCTACCACACCCTGCAAGATGGTGACTTTAGCAGCTAGAACCCATCATTCCGGCAAAGGGAGCCGTTCCGGAAGCATCCGGAGCTTTCCATTACTCCTCTGCTGAGCAGCCTTTGACAACTCTGGCACTTGATATCCCCCCAGCCACGAGAGAGTGTATCCGGCACAATTTAGAATGATAACAGGACCAAAGGACGGGGTGAGGGGAGTGTGTGTGTGTGTGTGTGTGGGGGGGGGGGGTAGACTACATTTGCAGTTATTGCATTTGCTTCCTCACTCGAGCACAGTGTTTCAAAAGCATCGAAATTCCTGTAGGTATGGCGACAGACATCACGGGCGCTTTTAATGAGAAGGAACTACGCAAGGAATGGGCATCCAGCTTCTGAGTTCTGCATGTTCGAGATTGCAGATTGCATGACTAAAATTCCCGGGGGGCGGGCAGGGGGGCATACTGCCAGGTCCCCCTCTGTGATTCTCAGTGCACGTTTCTCCATATCCAAACTGCATTCATGAACCTCCTGTCCTGGTCAAAATAGAAGAAAGAATGTCGGAGGAGAAGGAGGAAAACAAGGACATGAATCATGACTGTGCCTTATGTCGCCCTTTGTGTGTCTCTGGTTTTTGCGTGTCATCGCAGGACTGGGGGGGGGGTCTCCCTGGCTCGTTCTGAGCTTCTCCCATTTCTGCACTTTTCTGTTTAGTCAGCAATACTGGGGAGACTTCTAAATGGACCACAGCAATAGATCTAAAGGCTCTGGCTAACAGCCCACAGACAAAATTACAAACACAAAGCAGCAAAATAATAAAAAAAAAAGGGGGGGGGGACTGAATCCACGTGGCACCAGATCTGGAAAACGAAATTATGCAGGCTTCATCTCCGTGGCCTCCACATGGAGATGTCTGAGAAAGCCTAGATGAGAAGCATCTCAGGAACTTCCTTAACCAACCATTTTTAAAAGATATAGAACATCCTTTTAAAATTACAGGAAAACAATCAGATAACTAGAAAATGCATTAGCTTTAATTAGGTTTCCTCTCTCAAGTATTAAATCACCGACTAAATACCCAATGACATGTTTCATTTCCATTGCTTGCTACACCAGCTCTAAGCTTGTTTTAATACATGCATTTTGTTCGGTGCTTAATATTACCTACACGAGTGCTGAATCACCCGTCCCTTTGAGTTTGCGATTTGCTGGCTGATTCTACAGATTGCTGCCAGGATGATCTCTGATGGACGGCCATTCTGACTTAGACAATACATTCCCATCAGTATGCAACACAGTTTGAGAAATGTCCAATACAGCTACACTGTGAGAATCTGCTAATTTTATCAGCAGTGGGTTGGTAAATGCATATTTTGGTCACTTCTGCACAAGGCTACAATAATTACCCATTGGCTTAATAACATCACACATGCAACAAGCTGGTCTGTTATTACAGAATGACTGCCACGTTCTGTGTGCTTCAGACACCAGTACCTTGTTATTTCAGTTCAACAGATGCTAAAAATAATCGCACAGATCTTTTAAACGTACCTCCTCTAAGACTCAGCTGTCTGAAGTTAACCAAGGGAAGCTTAAAAATCAGTTGGGCATAAAAGAAGACAAACTGCAACGGAGAAAAGCCGGATTCTCATCCTAAATGCACAACTTTCGACATCACTATTAGGGAACGGTACAGGACCAGACTCCCTCCTGGGACGTGAACTGAAAGCCTGTTCCCTGCCAACTGGGATATGAAATCGCAAAAAAAGACGTTCGCAAAATAGGAATATTACGACGTACATCCCAGCCATTTTTACTGCACCCTTTGTTCATACAAGAATATACAGAATTACAAGTAAATGTTAAAAACACCTTTCAACGAATATGATGGTAAGACATGTTATTTGAAGCACATTTTCTGTCACGGGGGCCTTCACTGAAAATACAGAAGTTGTCATCATTAATCTATACCATCATCACACAAATGGCTGCTCCCCCCCCCCCCCCCCCAAAAAAAAAAAAAATCCTCCAATCTGTCAGAGTATGTTCCACGGCACACCGAGATTCGTGCAGCCACACCCCCCAGAGGCCCCCACGATGGGGGGCAGGAGGCCACCGTGTACGGAGCGGCGGTGAAGCAGAAGGATGGCAGTAAAGAATGGCCTCACCCCCCCTCCCCGAAGCTACCAAAATTAGCGGCTCCACATTTTTCCTTGCAATTCAAACAGGAAGTGGTGCATTTGTGTTTATTTTCGTACCGTACAGAAGGAACGAGAGTATCGGTACCCCCTCCCTCGCATCCGCGTTCAGCTATGCAGGAATACAGAGGGATCGGTCGGAGGATAAACAACCTTTCCAAACAGCCGGCTCCACCGACACGGAGAGGGGATTCCAAAAGGACCTCAGCACCCTGAGGCTGTCTGCCAGTTCCGCTTTCATCTAGTTTGGGGAAAACGATGGCAGGTGGGGTATGCACAAAATCCGAAACGACAGAGAAAAACTGACCGGGTGCTGAAGTAAGAACATTTACTGGCGTTCTCCGACTCTGCCAGGGTCACAGCAAAAGCACAGGATTACTCCAGGACACACTTCTCACATAAATTACGTGAACAGAAACCAGTGAGACTCAAAGACGGGTTCTGCCTGCTATTGGCGCTATGTAGCCTCAGGAGCGGCTGCGTGTGAAAGAAAAGGCGCCCGACGGATATTGTTTGGCAGGTACGGTGTAATGTATCGGGATGCGGGAGTAGCTATTATAGGGCCGCACAAAAGGGCAGCGTCGGGCCAGCCGAGACAAAGAGACACCAGCTAATTCTGGGCAGGGGCGGGGGGGGGGCTGTCAAGGTCGAGCCATTTCAAGGAGCTGGTGCATTTCCGCAGGCTCTCGGCTCGCTTGCGGCTTGTGGGGTGATGGGGCAAGTGCAGACAGGGCCCCCGCCCCCTCCCCACCCGCTAATCAGGTCACGAGCCCCCAGAGATTACTGGGGGTCTCGTCTTTCGCGTAGTTTCCGGGGTTTTATGGCGAGCGTGCTGAGGAAACGAGCCACCCCCCCCAAACCGAAAAGACCTCGCCGCTGATCCGAATCAATTCATCACGTAGGAACTAATTATCGCGATCTCCGTAATGCAGTGGTACGTTACGCGTGTCACCCCCACTGCCAAGGAGCACCCTGCCTGGTCGGGAGTCATGTGACCCATAATTACGAACAATTCAGAATTAATGTTCCAATTGCGCGCCTGGAGCAGAATGATGGGAATCAAAACTCGATTATGTTAGATCGCCGCCGCAAATGGGCTCGAAAACACTTAGCGCGTCTTAATGGCACTTTCAATCTTTTTAAACTTTTAACTGTTTTATTTAAAAAAAAACATGGGGTTTCGTGGCGGAGAGTGGAGGGGGCGTGGAATCATTAAATCCACCAACCCATACACCAGCTGATAATGTTGATGTTTAACATCAATACTTAAAAATATCAACATCTGGTGTCCGTAAATCTGCCAGTCACCGCACCTGTAGTATACCCTGGTGTCCGTAAATCTGCCAGTCACCGCACCTGTAGTATACCCTGGTGTCCGTAAATCTGCCAGTCATCACACCTGTAGTATACCCAGTTAGCTCCAGGACTGCTGCCTAGTTCATACACCCCGTCTGGACATTACAAGTCAGACCTCTGGCTTTTGGCACTGAAGGCACCCATTTCCTTCTGCTTATAAAAATATGAACACATCACCATTCCCCTCTTCCCCCAATAACCTGTCAGGCAATGCAATCTGGGCACATGGATGGAAGATGCAGCGCAAGCTTTGAATGCATCACACAGCAAAATGCAGCTCAGCAGATGTGACAGTAATGAAACAGAGACCCCAACCCCCAACACCACATACACACAGTGCTGCTGTTCCCCAGATTCTATAGCTTAAAAAAACTAAGCAACTACATAAGAATGTCTGAAATGAGCTTTCAACTTCGGTTTGGGCCAGAAAAAAAGAATTCTGTTTCAATCGCATTTATTTCCTTTTTTAGATATTACATTATACAGTGGTATTGAATTTAAAAATAGCACGTTTGAGCTAATCCTAGTCCTGTGTTTAACTCTGGGGGGGGGGGGGAATACTATGAACAGGAAGTGAGACCCCCTCTTTCTTCCATATCCCTTAAAGGCACAGGCCCCGCCCCTCCCTTGCTGACCCCGCCCCTGTCACCGGTGGCTTCCCACACCAAGGAGGGGGGGGGGACGACCTCCGAAGTCATGTGGTGTGGAACAAAATGGCTGTCTCGGGGATGCGAGCCGTCGTTTAGGAGACGCTCGTTCCGCACAGAGTTAAATCCAGGGTCTGGGAAGATAAATCATGTGTTACAATGAGCGGCTCTCAAGCTGGGGATCGACGGCGCACACACAAAAGGGAACACCTAGAAAAGGGGGAGGGAAAGAAAAACCACGGGAGCAAACAAATGAAAAACCTAAATCACACTAC